ATTACTTACAAAAGTGCAATTCAGTTCTAGCCAAAGCAGGAAAGATTACGCTTTACTTCTGCTCGTCGCACTCCAGGCAGTGGATGAAGAACAGTCCATTTGGTGTCATTATTTCTGCTCTGATGATTCAAAACAGCTCTGATGTTATTTTCCATAAACCAGCCCTTAATAGTACTAAATCATTACCCAGACATGCTTCCCAGTAAAATGCCTCTTGAAGGGGCCTCTGAACCTTTTAGCATCCTGAAAGAGGAAATCAAATCTTTGGAAGTCTGTAGATAGAGGAGTCGGATGGAGACTTCAGCAAGGAGAATGTGTCTGTACAGAAACCTCTCTGCCACTGAACAACTAAAGGATTTGCCCAGATCAATGACCTCATGCCCTTGGTACAAGTCCAGCACTTGTCCTTCTTTGGAAGCTGCTTTTAGACACGAGACGAAATCTCACCAGAGATAGGAAATCTATTAGGATTAGGGTGTCTGCGAATCCTTCCTAGCTGCATTCCTTCTGTCACATCTTTTTTCTCTCTGATCACTTTCTTTTGGTGGTTGGTCACTTTCCTACTGGGAAGTATATTTTTATTTTGCTTTGTGTGGGCTTGCTGCATAGCAAAAAGTATGGCTACAAACACTCAGTTTAGTGCCTTGAATAACAGATCAAGCTGCTGGTTACAAGATCAGGCTTTGCCCTTGTCATAACAACATATTCTGATTTTAAAGTAATCAATACTCAACAGGGTCAATAAGAACCTTTCCATTGACCCTGAGCTGGAGCTGGTCCCAAATATCCTGGGGGTTGTTAGTCTGAGCTTTTATCTTCTGCAATGCTACAACCATAATATTTATTAAAACTTAGCAAAAAGTATCGCTGTTATTAATGAGTGAGGCCAAATATTGTTGCATCTCTAACATGCTGGCATGGTGCCATTAATTTACATGACAGCAGAATAGAGTGGTGATACATAAAGCTGAAAATTCAATTAGAAAGGCATACCCTGATTTCTGACTAGCCCTACAATGATTGTGACTTTTACTTACAATAAAACAGCCTATCTCCAAGAGAGATAGAGATGTTTATTTTATAATCCTTATTTATAAGATGCTGCTTTTTATCTCCAATATAAAACACAGAGGGGGTATTGTTGATATAATAGGATCGTTGGCTTTTTTTCTACCATGGTGAAATTTTTCCTGTGAAAAGAGAGTAGAGATGACAATTTCATGGCCATTGTGAAGTGAAAGGGAAAGGTGAATGGGAAAAGAAGCATTACTTATTATTTTAATTGATGAGTTTTCCTGTAACACTTATCAGCCTAATGTCCAAGCAATTCTCAGGCAACAATGACTTTCTGCCGCTAGCGAGACCCAGGAAAGTGTTCTTACTTCAGTTCCACGGAGGTGTAATCTGAGGAGGGCAGGGTTTGGATGACACTGGGAACACATCAGGCAGTGGGAAAAGGGATCAAGATTCTCTGAGAGTTCAATGTCTGCATCCCCCAAATATCCCTTCAGTGCATGAAGTAAGTGACTGATCCAAGCTTGCACATTTTGTTTTGGCTAACGGAATTTGTGAATGACTGGCCCGTTAGTTGAAACTGTAAAGGACCATAACAGAATGGGAGGATGGATGAGCGGACAGATTGTTGTGCTCCCACTTCTCTCATTTTATATGTGGTGGTGATAAGCTACCATTTTTACAGGTAGTGAAGCTGTATTTCCCCCGTCCATGCTTTTCACCCACCTCTCTCTACCTCAAAATCCAGTGGCAAACTTTCCTCCAAAACTCCGTAGGACTGATCTAGTGCCCAATGAAATCGGCGGCAGTGCTTCTCCCAGGATAAAAAGCACAACACAATCCAGCATCTCTACCACACGCTCTGTTGACCTTTAGCAAATTGCTTGGATTCCTGGTGCATCCGTCTCCAATGTGTTAAGTGGGTTACTTTGAACCTACCTTGCAAGGGTCTACTGAAGCAGTGAGTCAAAGATTGTGAGATTTTCACAGAAGTATTTGGGAGAATCCAAGATATCTGCAGGGGAAAAAAAGGCAAAAAGTTTTAAGGGCCCAAGTCTTCTTTTACCTGGGTATGGACCGCTAACCTCTTTGTATTGTTTCAGTCCTTTAAACTGGCAGACAAAGACTTGAATAGGGTTGAGGATCTTGCCTGAGGACACTAAGTTTGTCAGGAAGCAGAAAAAGGGAAGCTGCTATTTTGCTCCAGAGGAACTCTTTTCCACTTCAGAGCAAAAGAAGCAGAAAATTTTTCATTAGGCTGGTGCTAGAGGAGGAGAAAAGACAACCTATTTTCTTTTTAGAGGAGGAATCCCTTTTGTTACCTGGTGGCAACAGGAGAGAGAAGAGCCATTGTTAAACGAATACATACTTAGGATACTTAATAATCCCACAAAAACATTAGACTCCTAACATTCACCATTGGCATCCTGCTTTGGGAGCTCAAAGAGCTGCTCAGACATTAGCTAATTACATTTGGCACAATCATCTCATCTTACATGCAGGCAGACACATTAGGTCACATGCTTGGCTGGTGTAAAGTTTTGATTTCAGCAGCATGACTCATGTACTCCAGCTGAGGACAAGCCCCTTTACTGTATCTAAGGAAAACTCACAACCTTATATCTGCAGTACCATATAATGAGGAAAGACCAACATGAAGGTTTCATCTTGTGTAACCACAGTTCAACCGGGAGTTCCCAAACTACTTAAGTAAGATTTTTTTTGTTTGTTTGCATGTAATACCAGCTGTTACCACAGGGTAACACAAAAGCACCAACAATGAAACTTGACTCAGATCATGGTGAAATGATCCCAGAAGAACAGCAGAACTAGGGTTTCTCAAAACATACAGAGGCCTTCAAGGAAGTTAAAAAAAAAAGGAAGAATACAGTAAGCGGAGTTGAGGTGTCTCAGGTAGAATGAGACATCATCCTGCGCACCTGGGAGAAGCACTGCCGCCGATTTCATTGGGCACTAGATCAGTCCTACGGAGTTTTGGCGGAAAGTTTGCCACTGGATTTTGAGATAGAGGGAGGTGGGTGAAAAGCATGGACGGGGGAAAATACGGCTTCACTACCTGTAAAAATGATAGCTTATCACCACTACATATAAAATGAGAGAAGCGGGAGCATAACAGAACTTTAAGAGCTTACTTTTTTCTGATGGCTGTAAGTCAAAGAAATCTGTGTTGCTTAGTTCTTTTCCTTGAAAAACAGTTATCTCTTGATAATGAGGGACAAAATAAAGCCATTAATCAATAACATATTACACATCAGCGGTCCCTGTACTCACCTGGACCCTAAGCTGGCATTGTTTCCCTTATTGTGGCTGAAGGATCAACACCGTTTCTCCCCAGTGGATCCTCTGGAGGCTTTGACAGGCAGGTAAGCAGCTCAGAAGGTCACTGGGTCACTGATTCCATCACCCAGCAATTGTGACCCACCATGAAATACAGGTTAAGCCCAGATAGGTTCACAAAAGTCATGCATTTATCGCTGTCTCTCACAACCTGGGCTGGACTGTCCAGGGAGGCGTTGTGGTAAATTTGGAATTCCCTTGGGGTAAATTAAGGTGAAACAACACCAAACAATCAGTTAAACATTTTACTTATGATAGAAGCAACCTGAACTTTGGAAGGCATAATAGTAGCAGTGTAGTTTCTATTAAAATGCTCGCAAAGGTAAGAAAGATGAAACAGACAAAAACAAGAAAAGGAAAGAGAGGTATATATATCTCTCACCACCCCTGGATCCTGCGATGAAGCTCTCAGTCGATGTTGCTGATGGTCAGCGTGATCCTCCAGTGGTGGGTGCGTGCAGGGCTCCTTGTGTCTCATCTTTTATGGCCCAGTTCACACCCTTTTCAAGTCAATCATGCTCCTCTTGGTTTTCTGCACACTGCCCCTAAGGACTTGATCTTCTGCACGGGCAAAATTATGGGGGGTGGTCATAAGCCCCTTCCCCAAATAAGCTCTGGGGGCCCCTTGGCTATGTACAGTAAAAGTTTTGCTTAGCTTATCAGGATGCAGGACTGCTCGTCATTCGACACACCTCTGGCATTCTGTATTAGCCAAATCTCTCACATGCAGCATTGCATATGTGGAGCTGACCTTGTCACAGTACCTTCCAAGCAACTCGCATCCCCTCGTCACTATGCAGGACTTACCTTATCACAGCACCTTGCAGGCAAGTTCTACTCCTTCCCTCAGCTGCAGAAGCCAGGCCTGGCCTCTGTAATTTTCTATGGTGACGGGTGTTTGAGGCATTTAACTATGTTCCATCTCTCACACTGTCTGCGAGTTCAGGGGTGTCACTCTACTGTCTTACCCAGCAGAGTAATGGGAAAATGTATGCTGAGGTAATCGGGGCGAAAAGCTGGGAAATGCATCTAAGGATACTTGGTTGTTCAACACTGATTTTAATAAGGCAAGAATTAGTCCATAATCACAAAATAACTACAGAATAAACTCAATGCAAAAATAAAACATCCAAATTACAAAACTGAATTAATGGAAAAAAAGAACCGTCTTAAGGTTTACAACTACCGTGTGCTTAGGATATTTTTTATAAAGGAGAGGTAAAATGAAGAGCAAAGACAATGCTATTTAGATATAGAAATTGGTATATCCCTACTGAGTATATGCTTGTTATACAGTAGGTGTTGTTAGAGGAATGTCTGAAGAAATTACCTGACCTGTGAGTAGAAAGTCAGTCTTTGTCCTACGTGGTTAGATGAGATTGAAATTTGACAGTGAGTCCAAGACATCATACAGGAAGGAGCAATAGTATTTAGCTTTTATTTTCCAAGCTCAATTACAGCCAGCAGAGCACTGTAGAGGGACAAATTTCAGTTGGGTAAGAGTGGTCAGGGGGGATTCCTGAAGTTAACTCCCCTTCCACAGTCTTGCTTGAGGCAGATCTCAACAGGCAGCAGTTTTCTGCTTGAAGACAGTTGTAGCTGCAGAACCATCTCATGTGGCCATTTGGTTAAGAGGGAGAGGACTGTGGGCTGAGGGGGGCTACTCTTGTCTGAAACCACTTGCTGAAATCCTCCTCTGGCATCTGCACAATACTTTCACGTACAAACTGAAACAGAAAAAGGTTCTTTCCTGAGCTTTTGATTTATGTGCAAGAGAGAGAACGTGGGAAAATTTGACCATTGTGACAACAGAACAAATGTAATGGCTTCTGCAAACAGTTAGTATAGTGCTTTACATCACCAAAACATTTTTAATGCAACTTTCAGAACAGCTGGATATGCTCCAAAATGAACTAAATGCAAAAGTACAGTCTTCATTGCAATTTATATCCTGAATCCTTCCAAGTCAAGTCTTTGTGTTTTAAAATTGCAGCTGTCTTCTACCTACCAGTGCAGTATATATATTAAAGCAACTTGAAGTTAAATAAGAAACTAATCTGGAATCTCGGTCAGTATCAGCCAGGCCACATTCAGTGATGCTCTTCTTGCTCCTAAAATGCTAGTTTCCTTTTATCTATTCCAGTCAGAAGGAGCACCAATATCCTCCCTCCTCTGTGGCTACTTTTGAAGGATTGTGTAAATAAGTAGATAGGAGATTCAGCCATGCTCACATGTTTTTCTCTATTACTACTGCTAATATAATGCAAAGGGAACAGAATGGAAACAGCAAAGAAATAGATCTGAAACCAGCAAGCGACAGAGACATATATTGAACAAGGCTGCCTCTCTTGGTTAGTGACTGTGCAAATTAGGGCACAAGACAAAATGGCTATTTTTATAAGACATCAAGAGAATACAGGTAGCCTGATCTTGACATGTTGGGTACTAAACCTTTGCCTTTGTAAGGCCTGACAACACTAGATACACGCAAGATGCACAGTAACCCGCTGCCTCTCAGAGATTTCTGGTGGTCTTGTAGATTGGGGGAAATAACTGTGATGAGAATAAAAGACACAAGGTGGCATCATTGCCATTTTTTCTAAGTTACCTGGCTAGACTATGTAGCAGTGTACATTCTAAATGCATTCTTTTCCCTTTCTTGTGTCCTTCCTCTTCTACCAATTGCTTCTAGAACTACAAGTGTTGAGCCCAACTTCAGATCTTGAGAAGCAGAATTATTTTTTTTTTTAAATGTTGCTGAAGCAAAACAGAGATATCTGCAGAGTTCCTGGATCCGTGATGCAATACATTAAATAGCTCATGGATATAACTACTGAGAATGACAGGCCTTTTCAGGGCACAAGAAGTTAATGTTTCTCTTCAAGTGTCCTAAGAATTTGTGACATGTCACTTTCACTGTGGCAGTAAATAAATCAACAATGACATAATAATAAAATTATACTGATTAATAATCCAGTGCTTGTCATAATATCTTTCTTTTGAGGAGTTCAAAGTGCCTTGTAGAAGGTGAATAATAGCATCTTCATTTAGTGAGATCCTAAATTATTTAATCTGTTAACTTTCCACTGCATGAATTTCACCCGTAGGTGCCTGCTCTTTCCCACCCTCATCACACAGAATCAAGCACTGGACTCATCTCACCTCTACAGCTGCAGCAATTTCTGGAGAACAGAGCTCCCACACCTGTAGATCAGCCAGAGCCTTAAGAAAGGTGTCTGGATGAATTTTCAAGTCAGGAATCTTCCCATATTTTTCCAGTTTCTTTAATATTTTCTGTACATAACGGTCACTCTTCACAGACTCTGGGAGTCTGGCAAGCAACACAGGAAACCTTTAGCAGAAAGAACAGCAATAAGAGAAGCCCTGGGAACAAATGCGTATCTGATTAATAACTCTGGGTTTGCTTGGCATTTCTGCCACTTCACTACCTCCATAGCTTCCACAGTAAAATGGCTCTACAGGGAATGCAATACTCAGTGTAATTCTGAGTGAATAACGTGAAAGAGCTTTACTTTATTGGGCTCGTGCACCAATTCCCTTTGCAGGGCAGTGAAATAGATGCTTCTTCATTGTTCATTTAAATTTTGGATGACTAACTTGTGTATGAAAGCAAATAATAAAATCCTAACAAACATTTCCATTTTACTACAGATTTGTCCTCTTCATCTTTTCTCTATTATTTTGTTTAGCCTCTACAGTTTTTGCAGTGCAATCAGTGCCTGATCTGACACACTTTCCTGTTCTCTTTACTATCCCTTTTCCCTGTGCTATCATCATTCTCTTCTCTCTCTGCACTGACATAAATCTCACTGATATAAGTGCACTATAACACACAGTCTTTACCATTTCCCTCTGAATATAAAGATTCAGAAGGAGAATTACACATTACAATAAAAATAAAACTCTTTTGAAAAGACTGCCTTTTTTTTTTTTAATGTTCTGTGTAAATTCTGCAGTGCTGCTTTGACAGTCCTGGAGACTGATGTTCCAAACCTTTCTGGACCGTACATGAGTGGGGTATGCTGTGGCTTTCATCGCAAAGGGATGAGGATTTGGCAACACATCAGGAGGAAGTGCTGCCTCCCTCTAGTTTAGGATCTGTTACTAGGACAGCAGAAGAGGGGTGAGGAATTTCCTCTTTAAATTAGTAAAAAAGGAAACATGTAGGTTCTGGCCTTCAGTAGGGCCAGTTCCACACACAGTAGTACACTGCTAGTATGGGCATGGCTGTATAGCCAAGTCCTTATCACCGGCTAGATTACTGTAATCATGTCACACACAGGCCTTTTATAAACCATCCATGCATTAAGATATTTTATTTGAGAAAGGAAGCTATTTTCAGTGTACTCTTATATTGCACTGTTCATATTTTATATTTATTTTTGTTTTTTCTCACTTCATGAGAGAGATAAAACAACTAGACTGACAGCATATACTAGTAGTGTTCCTACTGCGATTCAGCTTTCTTGGCAAGGCAGCGTTTCCAAGAGTATGGGGAAAACAGCCCTACTGCAAATGAAACAAGCAGTATGGTGAAAGCAATTTCTCTATCACGACTTTGTATCTCTGCAAGTGGGTTGACCAGCCTTGTCAGAGATTTCACTGTTTATACCTCTCATGGCTAGCACTTGGCCTGGCAGAGAAAGTGATACTCGTCTAACTGTGCTGGCACAGTCAATGCAAGACAGCCTCCTCACTATGGAAGCATGATTTTCAAATGAAGGAACAGCAGACTTGTAGTACCGTTCTTGCACAGGGGGAAAAGTAAAAAGCCATATTGGTGTAGCCTCTCATGGAGCTTTGTCCAAATTAAGGCTTCTTCTAGCGTAACTACAAGTATGAAAGCAGAACCACATCCACTCCAGTTTCAGGGCTTATGTACATGCCAGAGTTTAAATTTGGGGGCAGGTGGACCATATATGTTTGACAATTAAAACCAAAGCTCTGCTAGATAGACCAAGACTAGGTTTATTCATTAATGCATGACTGATGTGTTCCTGGGCCATCTGCATTTTGAACTTGAGATTAGAAATGGACTTTTTGTTATCTCAAATTATGAAGGACAGAAGGCTTACTAGCAAGGACAGCAAAAGAGGGCAGACTGATAAAAAACCCACCATTGCATACTCTGTAATCCCATATCCAAGGAGTTCTCATGGACAGGGCAGTAGGGATCACACTGTGAGCTTGCTGAGGTATTCTGGTAGGCTTTCTGATGTGTGTCTGGAAGCTGATCACTGGATACAGCTAATATCCTTTCAAACATAAAACACTAGTAATCTGCAGTTGCTGTACTGGGAAGCATTTTGGCAATTACTCTACTTGCCCTTGTAAGTATTGCAGTATTATCCATGTGCAGTTCATAGAAAGAAAAATACTTCCCTGTCAATGTTTAACATGGAGGCACAGCTAGAGTCAAAGTCTCCTTTGCCATCGATTTTAGTACTGTGAATGTTCAGTTCAGTAAGAAGTTGTGAATCTAACCTATGTACTTTTATACAATATCTCTCATCTTTGGAGTACAGTGTGTTTTACATACTTCCTGGCGGAAGAAGTCTCCTATAAAGCTGCATGCTGTGTGAATGCAAGGACTGAGTGCTTTTCAACCAATATCACTGGAAAGGAACTCTTACTTATCTCCTTTCTTACCACTTCCAATTAACCCATTTGCTGAGCAGGCTGCTGTTCCTAGAGATCATATCTGTATTTTTGTTGCTACCAGTTTGAAAAGCCTGCATTTCCAGCAACTGATTCAATGGTTTCTAGTGATACTTTGGGGAGGGAGGGGGGGAAAAAAAAAAAAAAGTAAAAAGCTTTTTATACTAAAGATAGAACTCTGGGACCCTGACTATCTCCTTTGAACTGAGGATTTCTGTGCCTCCTTACCAGTTTAGTCCATCTTCATCATGTTCTCTTTCGGCTCTCACGCCCAGCTGTCTTATTCTTTCCATGTCTCTTCTAGAATATTTCAATTGTTTCAAAGCCTGATATTTCTGACAGCATCGCTCTTCCTGCCTCCTACAAAAAACCCTTAAAAGTTAAAGCTGTGTTTTAAACATTATCATACTTCTGCATAGTTAACTGGGAAGATACTAAGGAAGGCAGAAAACAATAAATGTGAAGAACACATTGTATGTTCAGTCTGTGGACAATAATAATTTTTGCTTTTGCAGTGTTCTATATACATTGATATTTATACAAACAATATTAAGAAGCATTTATGTTTTCTATCAACTCCGGGCTGTAGTAAGAAACAAACTTCAGAATCAAAATATTTAAACTGAAATTCAACCTCCAACTTCTATCAGATATCCACTGCTTGAAAACAAACAGAATACTGCACAGTGATTTAGCGTAAAATATTATTTAAAACACAAGAGAGGTGGAATAGAGTGACCTGAGCTAGAATTTTGACCCAGAGATGGGGCTCACATATGCATTCCTACAAGAAGTACTACTGTGTTGTAACAAAAATAAACATCATGGCCTCAAGTTGCGCAAGGGCAGGTTTAGGTTAGACATTAGGAAAAAATTTTTTCAATTAAAGGGTTGTCAAGCACTGGAAGGGGCTGCCCTGGGAATTGGTAGAGTCCCCATCCCTGGAGGCATTTAAAAGCCAGTCAGATGAGGTACTTAGGGGCATGGCTTAGGGGTAGGACGGCAGGGTTAGATTAATGGTTGGACTTGATGAGCTTGAAGGTCTTTTCCAACCTAAACTATTCTATGATCTAGTTTTCTTTCCATTAAATTGCCAAACTGAGGTTTCATCTCCTTCAAACAGAATATGCTTGTGTGGCTGTATGGAGAATGGTAAAATAACTGCAAGCATTGAGTTTCCATCTGACTTGTCCTTCCATACTGCAGGATGCTGGAATGACTAGTTCCCTACGCGGTCACAGCAGCTGCTCAGAGAAGAAAACAAGGACCCAGCTCTACATAAGGAAAGCTCTGGGGACAAAAAAATGTAGGTACAAAATGGAACAGAAGAATGGAAAAAAGTGAGAAGACTGAAGAAAACTGTGCCTATAACACCCTTCAGAACAGCAGTGTAGAGAAGGTCTGATGCTTACTAAGACAAAAGAATTTGCACAAACATCACAAATGTTTCTGTGTGAAAGGGAAAGGATGACAGGCTTTGGCTGGTCAACAAGGTAGAAATGTCACTGATCTGGGATCTTGAGAGAGGACGTTGCAACTGTTACTATACGAAGAGTCAAAGTAATGTTGAAGAACGGTAAAGTGATCTCTGAACTGAAAACACAAAATAGCTATATAGATTGTATCTGACCAAATTTATTATTCAGTCTTTAGGTGAAAAGGACAACAACATCCAAAGTAAATATATCCAATGTTTTTAGCAAAACTATTTCCAGAAAAGTAATTCAGAAATATCACAAAACACTGCTGTAAATATTTAACGCGTAATATATTTTTTGTACACAGTCATAAAACTTTCTATCATCATCCCTATATTCTTATTTTAATATCAGTCCATATAAATGCATCTTTCAAAGGCCTGAAGACAAGCTCTAAATCTGGTCAGAAGCAAGGTATGTAGTGTTACAAGACTATACAGAAAACAGCCTCTTCGTACCTCTCAAGGCGCTCTAGAGTATCACATAAACGAGCAGCTGCTTCTTCACGTACTGCTGTGAACCTTTGCCTCATATCAGCACACAAGTTAGATTTGCTTTTAATGAAAGAGCTGATATCACAGCTGGAACTAAAACAACACAGAAAACTAATTAACATCTTGTGGCAAGTACCTACGTTGCTCAGAACATACAGTGATGTGAGCCCATATAAATTTTGAGATCTCCTTATTCTCAGTAAAAATCCAAATTTAGTATTATTTACAATTTTTTAATTCATAAAATTCTTTACTAAATTTTATGAATTTAAAAAACTGCAAATTATACTAAATTTGGATTTGTACCATCTTTCATTCCAGTCACATTCTTCCAGGAAAGTTCCTTTGCATTGCATTGAAATGGAGTAAGTGTGCTGCAAGGTTTTGCTGGCCTTCTCTGGACTCATGTAATAAAATGCTCTCTGACATTTGCATGCCAAGTGCTTTCCACACATAGAGCTGAGTTTATACAGCATATAATGCACTTTAAGAACAGATTTTTCCCTTACCCTTGCCTTCTGGGCCTTTGCTTCCTTGATATTATACTCTCTTGGTCCTTAATAAATGGCATGTTTACTCTGTAATTCTTCTGAGCCACTGGCAGCAAACTGTAAGACACAACAAGGTTTAAAATAGCTTACAGTGTGCCTTCCCCAGAATGTGAAAAATTCTACAGGTGCTGATAAAACATTCTTAATATTACAGACTTGATGGAACTATCCAGGTACAAAATTTATTTCTCTTGACCTTAGCTCAAGGGAAAAAAATGCTTCAGCAAAGTCTAATTGTAAGAATGGTTTGTCATGTTGACCTTATAGCTGTGGAAACCACCACAGAACTGAGTAATGATGGAACTCATCCAATATAAGCTTAGCTGGAAATGTTACAGAGAGACAACTGAAAAATGCTATGGTAGAAACAGAAACAATTCTACAGGAATAAGATAGAACATTGTTTTTCTACAAAGCTGCTGGAGCATAAGGTCTCTTCTGTTTGCAAAGGCAAGATTCATGGGGTATTCTCCAGAAAATACATACTGCTTGCACAGCAGTAAAATGAGCTATTCTGTCACCCATGCCAAAAGATGTAAATGTCATCTGAAATCACTGAGTGCTGAATTCAGTTGTTCGGGGGGTGAGGGGGTAGGAGAAAGGAGAAAAAAAAAGCATAAGCATCTGTCCTGATGAGTTGCTTCTCCTAATAATTCAGAAACCCATGAGGTAACATACCGCTGCAGTCCAGCCTTCTTAACCATATCTTCTTGTTTATCGTTATCTTTTGACACCTCTTCACATATTATTTGGATGACTTTCTGTAGGGCTGATAAAAAAAATTCTGTAAAAACATGCCGACTCAATAGTGCATTCCTTTTCCTTGCAGAGAGGATGCCATATATGCTGGCTTGAATGAGATATCCTGAAGAAACCTGCTATTTACTATTTCTGAAACTTAAAAGTTTCTTCCAAAAAATTAGCTTTTTGAAAGAGGTTTCAAGATAGGTACCCAAATGTGAATGCACCCAATTAATCGCTTTTGAAAGCATAAGCTTTGTTCTTTCAGCTGTGAAAAACACCCCATCAAGTAGAAGGTATTTTTTACATAAGATCCTTATAAAATAGCGTATTAGAAAAACAGGTAGATTTGAAAAATTATGCAGGAAGTCTCTTTTCCTTTTCTGTACTGTGCTGTTAGCATTCTACTGACATAACCATCAAGTCTCCTGAATTTCTGAGTCTACCGTATCACTTTGCCACTCTTTTTTGAAATGCCACATGGAATTTAGTACATTTAACATCAACAGGTATCTAATTACCTCTCTGTGTCTCCTTATCAGCATCCACTAAAACTTAAGATGTGTCCTCCTTTATTGGCTATAGTTTCCAGATTGTCCACCTCTGAGCAGATGTCTCTCACTAATAACACTCTTTACTCTTTCTACCTTCTGCTGTAATGCGAATGTTTATATTCTCCTCTCCCCGGAATACCTGGAAAGCCAATTTAACTCACTGTTTTCCTTCAAATTGACATCTTCGTTCTCCTTCCCACTACTGTTTCATT